AAAAAAAAAAAAAAAAAAAAAGTGGCATACATCCAACTGCTCTCCTTAATTTTCTTTAGTTATCATTTGTTTTATTCTCTATTATTTTTATTTACTCTCATTTTCCTTTGTTTTGTTCACTCTTTTATTACAAAATATATTTCTTTAATTCATTGGATAAAGTTATATTGTTTTGTTGAGTATATATTGATTTTATTAATGTAACCATAAATATTATATACGTAGTAGTGTTACTGTTATATACTGAAAGCTTGACTTTAGATGATATTACATTTTTACCTTTTATGGATGAAAAAACATGTTAGATTAAACAAGTTTTATGTTCTGTTATTTTGCAATTAGATAGTGTGGGTCGTTATTGGGCGAACCGAAGATCATTCTATCAGTTACTTGCGAAACAAAAATTATGGTTCACGACCTAGATGGAAATGAACACTCCGTCCGAACTAAGAGCATTCTATCAGTTACTTGCAAAACAAGAATTATTGTTCACGACCTAGATGGAAATGAACACTCATTCGAACGGTTGTAATGTCAACGGTACAGTTTGTCTTAAGTGATTAGTTGCACTAGTACATTTATGTATTGAACAGGATCCCAGAGAGGAAAAGTTCGTTTTATACTGATCGTGGTAAACAAACTAGGGCCTCGGTTAATTAATGTGTTCTTTTAACCCATAAGATATTAAATAGACATATATATGCAGTATTTATGATTTTGATTCACATGGGTGAGGTTCAGTGAACTGGATTAATAGTCCCACTGTCTTGGATAATATTTGTTGCATATATGATGTGCTATTAGGATAGGTCACCATGCACGTTTATTTTGATTATGTCCCCAGAGTGAGTTGATAAAGGATTATTATGCTCAACCCTGCAGGTGGATTAAATTTTGGCATAGTAATAATGTGATTAACAAGTGTTAGCTTCAGTGAAATAATAATAAATTAATTAATTCTTGATTATCAATAATCGAATTAATTAGTAGATATTATATCTTAAACATGTGGAGGTAACTCGGGTAATTATAATCGGAGTCTCAATTGTAAATTGGGCGAGGAAAAGAGAGTACAATAATATTATGTTGGTGGCCTTAATATTATTTAATTAATTAGAGTAGTGGGTTTGACCCATAGTTAGTCTAATTAATTGAGGACTCATATCTCTAATCTCATAGGGGTCCTTTATCTCTATATATAGATCATTAAGCTTATGAGAAGAGAGGAGTTGGAGACAATTTCACACGCCCAAACCCGAGCCTCTCTCCCTCTCTCTTCTTTTTGTTGCTCCACTGGTACAAGTCGAAGAGGTGTTTTGATATATGCAATAGCATCTACTGGTACAAGTTGAAGAGGTTTTTAAGATGTACAGTAGAATATCCTGTGGTAATTGAGATACATATATTTACCAATCTCGGAGATCAACTCCGCGACAAGCCCAGCCCGACGAGCCAGACCCGCCGCGAAGCAGCCGACGACCAGCCACCCGATGCCGCAGATAACCGGACAGCCGCGACCCGCCCCGCGATCCAACCAGCGACACGCGACCAGCTCCCGACGACCCGACCCACGCGACCCACGTGCCCGCGAGCCCGACGTTCCGTTCGTGATCCCGACGTCCCTTGTCAATCAAGATAAACCAAATCGACATAAATTTTAAGCCGTAAGTTTTCTATGTCAAACTTTTAGATCCGTTGCATATAGGTTATACGTTTGCTATTGAGAATTTGTACATAACAAGATTCCCACAAATGACAGCACATAGTAGTATTGAAAATTATCTATGTACTAATTAGTAGCGATATTAACAAAATTTATGGTACAAAATTTGATGGAGAGTTACGTCCAATCAAAAAATTGTGGTGAAAAGTTAAAAGTAGTTGTACGTCTAAAACGAGTTGAAATTGATGTCTACTTGGGTTACAATTGTTGTGTAAGAGAATTTACCAAGATTGAGGTAACAATTGTTGGGTAAGAACTAAAAGATATTTGAAATTGATGTCTACTTAGGTAACAATTCTTGTGTAAGAGAATTTACCAATATTGAGGTAACAATTGTTGGGTAAGAATTAAAAGAGAAAATAATGGTTTTTTGAGAGTTAAAGAGAGAAAATATGGGGAATAGTTGTATTGTGTTTATTGAATTGTATAATACATCTAAACCATATTTGAATGAGAAAAAATAAATTAATTTTTAGAGTTCATGAGTTGAGAAAATAAAAAATAAAATGCCAAAAGCATACTTGAATAAGAAAAAGCTAGAATTAACTAATTACACAAGAAAATAACAAAATTATACTATTCATCGCTGAATCTAAAATTTAAATGTTTAGTACAATATATTCATTTAAAAACATTAATGTTTCATTACGTAAAAATATAATGAAATTAAACGATTTGTCACTGAATCTAAATTAAATGTTTAGTATGATGTATTCATGTAAACAAACATTGTTTAATTTCATATCAATAGCACTACAATTTTATTTTATAGTATTCTTTTTTTTTTAATGAAGCAAGCATGAGTATTTTAAATCATTCTATGAGTTGAAAATTAATGTGCAAATTAATGGCACACCAAATTGCCGATATAAGTATATCTTTATTCATACTCAACAGCACCTATACTTTAAAGATGATACTTACTATTTTTTTTTTATTTTTTTTCCTTGATATTTATTTTTTACATGCTTATAATTAGTTGTGCGTGCCATCACATTGAATTAATTTGACTTTCATAAAATTCATGCAAAGTGAAAGAGAATTATTATAACATGTAGTTCCCGCGCATAAAGTCTCACTTGAAGTAGTTTACTTTTATTTCATTTTTTTTTAGCAAACATATTTTTATATTCTTCAATGAATTGAAACCAAAGGACTTGATTTAGAAATTGAGACACAATAGTGCAGGACCATTGTAAAGCAAGCATCATTAAGAGAAAATTGAATGTGTTGTGCCATTATCATAGAGTAACATTGAAATTGATGAAGTTGCATTTCAAATGCCGCGGGGTGTCTCACCCTCGTCGAATCGTGAGTAAGCGGTCGTAGTATCGCTTCCTTTCCTGCACCAAAAAAAAAAATGTAACTATGGTAATTTTGATAAGAAAAAAATACTAATAATAAGCATGAATATACACAGAAATGCCGACGGCTCATACACAATGAACAAAATTGCATATTTATATTGTATTTTTTTTTAGTCATATTTCAAAATATAATGTTTCAATATGAATGTATACATTTGAACATAAAAAAGCTACATATACTTGTAAAATTGAGGCATAAACATTAGGAATCATTAATAAAGATGCATATTAAAGTCGCGCATGCGACCATTGTTTCAAACGTTGGTTCGACTGAGTCAAAGATTGAACTGATATCGTAAACAATTGCCATAATAATTTGACTTATGTTAGAAAATCTCATTCTTTATTTTTTGAAAAGGGTAAAAAGTTCTTTTCATTACTATTTTTTTGAAACCAAAATATTACATAAATAATAAAGTTTCTTAAACTTTGAAAAGATTACAAAGAATGGCAACAATTTCACCTAATAAAAATTGAAATTTGCACAACTCAATTTTTATTTTTATTTTTGTTACAATTTTACCCTTAAACTCTAAAAAGTAAATAAAATATAAATATTCAATGAAAAAGTAATGGTTCGTAACTAGTTGATCTAGCGATTACAAATTTCGACGAAATAATTAGGTAACAAGAACATACAATTTTTCAATAAATAAAATGACAAGCAAGGCAGCGCGTACAATCACCACAGACAGACCTCTTCCTCTCTCTACAATTACAGTCCAAAGTCTAGAGAGAGAAAGGCAGCGAATGTGGTGCCAGCGATGAAATAGAAGGATTATCAAAAGCTTTCTCTCTCTTCAGGTCAAAGCTGGCATTTGTTGTTTAAAGCCCCTCTCTCTATCCCACCCCTCTCCCAATAGTCACAACCTCACTTTCTCTCTCTATCTTCCATTTTCTCTCTCATAAATCTCCTTCCTCTCATCGCCGGAGGGGATATGTTCTTCGCACACATTTAATCTCAAGCAGACTGTCTCCGTCCATGGCCGCCGCGTCCCTGTCTCCCTCCGGCGGGGAGAAGAAATACTGGTGGCTCACCAACAGAAAGGTATATAAAGAAAAAAAAAATTAGCCCCAACTTGTTCACTGTGCCTCTTATGTTTTCGATTTGTGGCTGAAAGCTTAAATTGATTTTTTCCGATTTGGTGAAATATGTATTTCAGATGGTGGAGCGATACGTGAGGGAAGCTAAAATGCTGA